AGACGGCGTTTCACTGTGTTGACCAGGATGGTCTCGATCTCTTGACCTCGTGATCCACCCGCCTCGGCCTCCCAAAGTGCTGGGATTACAGGCTTGAGCCACCGCGCCCGGCCCAGGTTTTTTTTTTAATTTTTGTTTTTCCAGATGGAGTCTCACTTTGTCTCCCAGGCTGCAGTGCAGTGGTGCAATATTGGCTCGCTGCAACCTCAGCCTCCCGAGTAGCCATGATTACAGGTGTGCATTAGCACGCCTGGCTCATTTTTGTGTTTTTAGTAGAGATGGGTTTCTCCGTGTTGGCCAGGATGGTCTCGAACTCCTGGCCTCAGTGTTCCGCCCGCCTCGCCCTCCCAAAGTGCTGGGATGACAAGCGTGAGCTGCTGCACCAGCTAATAACATTTTTACATTTCATAGTAAAATTGATTTGCTCTTTTGTTATAAATGTTGCATGAGTGTTCACACCTGTGCAGATTTGGAGAAGCGCCACAATAGCCAGGAGACAGGCGCGCCCTGCCGCCTCAGGACCGCTCTCCCCCAGCTCAGGCTGGAGTGAAATGGCGTGATCTTGGCTCAGTGCAACCTCCACCTCCCAGGTTCAAGTGATTCTTCTGCCTCAGCCTCCCAAGTAGCTGAGATTACAGACGCCTGCCACCACACCCAGCTAATTTTTGTATTTTTAGTAGAGATAGGGTTTCACCATATTGGCAAGGCTGATCCTGAACTCCTGACCTCATGATCTGCCCGCCTCAGCCTCCCAGAGTGTTGGGATTACAGGTGTGAGCCACTGCGCCCACCACTCAGAAATGAAGAACAAGGCGTTAGAAACTGGAGGAAAGACTGTCCTAGTTTAAAGTGGCAGAGAACATGGCAGTCGTGTGTTCGTGCCCAGTCCTTCCTTTGTGGAAGGGACTGGGCTGTCTGGCTAAAGAAATATTCAGGGTGTGGCGTGTCCTCTAACTGCATAAAGTAAGACGTGAGACGAGAGAAATGATTGAAAGATGGAATTTATAATTAACAGGGAAAGAACTTAGGGATCTTAAGGCTTTTCAGTCTGGCCATTGAGAGAGTAATGAGGTGTCTTTAGGAGAACAGACCAGGAGTGTGGCTGAGCAGCTTTTGACAAGGAGCTTAGTGTGGACAGGACGAAGCCAGAGGCTGCAAACCAGGACAAAGAGAAGATGACCCCAGAGGCATTTCAGACTCCTGCTGCTGCTTCTCCCCCCACGGGCCTGGCGCACCAAGGCCTTTGGGAGGGAGATCTGTCAAAAGAGAGGTGTAGGGTGCCCTCAGGACTTTAGAGCCTGCTGGCCAGGGCCACCCCGAGTCTGCTCTCTACGTTCCAGGGCAGGCCCCTAAGCCGCTCCAGCCTGTCTCAAGTGACCCCGGGGAAGGTACCATCATAGCCTTGGTAGGTTCTGCAGGGATGCGCTTCCCCCACTGGGAGTCACAGGATGTCACAGACAGCAGGGCCCACATGGAGACTTGCAGAGCCATGGCAGAGAGCCCACATAGGCAATACGTGGTAGGGCCTTGGGGTTAAGGCCACCCTGAGACCCCAGAACTGCAGAGCCTCCAGTGTTCATTGCCAGCCTGGGAGAGTTGCAGGCATGAGACTCCAACCTACTGGACCTGCGTGAGGGCTGAGCCCAGCACAGCTTTAGGGCTGAGATTACCAAGAGCCTGGAGGGCCTCTCCGTACCCCCGGTGTGTACAAGGCAGGATTTGGAGTCAAAGAAGAAGATTCTCAGGCCTTAGGGTTTCGTGGTGTTCTCCCTGCTGGTGTTAGACGTGCTTGAGGCCTGTTACTCCTTTCCTCTTTACGGTTTATCCGCTTTGGAATGGAAACGTCTGTTGCGTGCCTGCCCTACACTGT